TATCAGTTATTAGTTGCAATCCTAGATGGGATGAACGGTACCAACTTCTAAATAGGTAACATCACCTGATTGAACCCCAAATTCCATGGTGTAGAGTTCTGAGTGTGTCTGTAATATTTCATCTAATACCATTGTGTATTTGTTTCCCTCAGACAAACCATGTTTGATCTAGATGAACTAGACTAGTCTAGAATTGTGTGATATCTAGTCTTGAAATCACATGTTGCAGCTGAACACCCCTCACCTCACCCCCTCCTTCCAAACATGAAAAATAACCTGTTGTAGCAAGGAAATAGCAAGACCTGACTGTGTGTGAGGCAAAATGGTCATCTTGTGAATATTTGAAATTTAATTCTACCGCTATTGATTTCCCAGTAGAATTGATGAACAGTGATGAAAAGGAGGGGGGCCATCGACGTGAGGATTTGTTTTGGTTTTTGATTTCGATTTTTGTCTTGTCTCTAAATGTAATCGGGTCCTTCTTTAGACCCATTTTCAGTGTATGGTGAAAACAAGCTAGTTTACTCTCTACATAAGATTTTGGTCAATCCACCTTCAATTTTTTTAATTTGTCTCATTCCATATTCTATATTTGATCAGTTGAATATGGCAATAAAATGGAAAATTGTGGAAGACAGTTCTGTCACCTTGACATTCTTTGCAGTATGCCTGTTGGAAATCCTCCTCAAGGTCCTCCTTTTATGCTAAATGAAAGTGGAACTAAAAGTGTTTGCATATTTGTGTATTTTTCTCTTCCAGTATGACTTTGTAGAGCTACTGGATGGTAGTCGTCTCATTTCCAAAGACAAACGAGCGCTCAGTGACATGGATGCAGGAAATTCATATCCAGCTGGTGCGCACGAGGAGGAGTCTGGCACCCGTCACATACGGTCCGTGAATGTACACGAGGCTGGTTTCATTCAGTATCTGGACTCGGGAGTCTGGCATTTGGCCTTTTACAACGATGGACGCAATACAGAACAAATCATTTACAATACCATCATCATAGGTGAGACACAGCCATTTATTCTATAAGACTGAATTTCTTCGTAATTACTGTTGAGTTACTGTTACTGTATGTAGATGCACCTTTACAGTAAACAAAATCCATAATATTGTCTACTTAATGCGATCACTACCAGTTAAACTGTGTGATGGAAGGAGGCTGTCCCGGAGACTTGTAATATGTGTGAGTCAAGGTGTGTGTTATTGAGCTGGCTGCCCAACTGAGTCTCAGTGAAGCTGAGAGTGTAGCCGACGGGAGTGTAGTTTGAAGGCTAACATGGTGGTAGTTGATTGGCATCATGTTTAGTAAGGATTTAGGATGTAGGTAGCAGGCTCGAAACAAGGGCTACAGTTGAAGTGGCCATTTTCTTTCCAGTTCAGGGAACCACATTAGCAGCCAGGGTTTAGACAGGATCAGATTCTGAGAAAGAACAGAAATAGTTCCTCTATTTATTGGACTACAGTAATATATAAAGTCCTTGGATGCATTTAATTATCCCTTAGAAATCTTAAAGTCTGCTGAGTCCATGATTTGGCCAATTTGTGCCGTTAGGGCTTGAGTTTTCAGGATGCCAAGGCAGACAGATTCGGAATTATATTTTAATCAAAATAAACTGGCAAAGCAGAATTCCCTGGCAGTACAGTCGAACATACCATTTCCTATGAATAAAATCAATAAGTCAAAGATGAAGGAACAGAGATCAAACATGACAAAAGTCCACAGAATCCAAAAAGTCACTTTAAAGGGGCCAATCATCTACAATGGCTCTAACACATAGTATGTGAGTTGAGATGTATAGTAGAGTATTTGGTGTTTGTCTATCCCCTATCTATATTGTATTGAAACATATGTCATTTTAATTATTTGCGACATGATGATGTGATATGCAGCATGCCTTCACATAATGTACAATATTTGGTCACTAAGTCTTTATTTGTTATTTTATTTCTCTCTCTCTCTCTCCCTCTGTGATTCTCTCTCTCTCTCCCTCTCTCTCTCCTTTACTAACTCTAAATCAGAGTCAATTATGGAGTGTCCGCAGAATTGTCATGGAAACGGAGATTGTCTCTCAGGAACATGTCACTGCTTCCCAGGATTTCTTGGGCCTGACTGCTCTAGAGGTAAACACGCACACGCACATGTACACACGCGTGCACACACACACACACACATACACACACACACACACACACACACACACGCACTCCCACCTCACACTCCCACCTCCAGAGAGGTTGTAATTGTTGGGAGGTTGTTATCCCAGTAGTGTGTGACCCAGACCCTCACGTATAAAGGCTGTGCTGTGTTACTCTTCTGTTCCTTTCCACCTCCACTGCCTCTGTGTGTTCAGCCATTTTGCTGAAATGACTGGTTTAATACAAGGGCAAACAATATCCAGCACACTCATAACAGTTTTGTGGCTTTATCAGAATCAGTTCATCTCTTGGTTGTCCCACAGACTCTGTAGCACTGCAATATTAAGAAAGCTGCAATACATCACACTGAAAGCACAGGAAACTGGTTTTATACTGCCTGAGTAATTAAAAGACAGTATCATCCCCTTAAGCTCAACCCCAGTCCAAACTATGCTAATGATGATGATCTTCCTTCCAATAAATTAGTGCCATCTCCCAGAAAACTGTTCTTAAACCAAGTGGTAATTTGAATGAGCCTCCTTTTCTCATGCTACATGCTACTTAAGTGGGATTTCTACTGTGTTAGATCTGGATATCCCCCCACCCCCTCCACACACACACACACACACACACACTGGAAGTGAGAGAGGTGAGAGAATAGACAGTTTTAATTTGACACTACTTCCGGCCTTCTTCCTGGTTAGATAGATAGTGTGGTCTTCTTATGTACAGAATGCAAAGGAAATGATTAAAGTTCTGAGAAATATGATTTATTTAGTCCAGTTTGATGATCACAGGCCTGGCGGAGATAGATGAGTTAAAAAGCCTGATGGCAGATAGCAGGAATGACACAGCAAGGTTGAATGAGTCTGTCGCTGAAGGTGCTAGTTTGTCCAGTTTTTCATTAAGGGATGCGAGGCATTGCCCAATAATGTCTGTAGATTTCCTACTGTTCTGTCCTCAACTACTTCCTCCAGAGTGGCGAGCGTGGCGCCTGCATCCCAGCACATCACAGCACAGAAGTGCTTGATAACACATTAGACTGATAAAACATTTTGAGGAGTTTGTTGCACACATGATCTGTATTTACTGTGAAGAAACTGTCTAAAATATGAACAATATATGAAAACTATATCATATCATCCTGTGAATGATGCCTTGCTTTTAACTGTGCACATTTGATTTACAATGTGGTCAGACAACATGTGTTAAAGGGCCTTAAAGGTTATATATGCAACATTCCCTGCCACTAGATATTGCACTAGCAGCATCTCGATCAAAACAAATGCTTCTTCTGCCACACAGTTTGTGGGCAAAGGTTGGGGGAGCACCTTTTGGCCACAATTTCCTCTCCCAACCAGAAGAACAACTGAATAGAGTTACCCTGTGCACACACATGATCTTACGTGAAGATGTAAATAAACTTTGAACATGTGCCTTAACTAGTTGACAAAACAAAGAACGCAGAAGATTGGATCACAAAACACACAAAGGGATTGTGACTTCATTCTCTGCACAGGACACCATTGCTCCACTACATCTTTACATCAACAGTATTATTGGCTGCAATATTAATGTTTAAAATCTCATATATTTATAATCCTTAAGAACTGTCTGAGAGATCATTTATAAAGAACTTCTTACCATCGAAAAGGCCACAGGGCAATTGAAAGTTTTATGTTACCTTGATAAATGACTACATGTAGGGCATAATGTAATAATTTGTCATTCGTGCACATAGACAGTCATTTCTTAAAATAAAATTAACCCAAAATTTGATTTTTAAAAAATCATATTTTTTAAAGACTGATTTATTGCATGGTGCAGACAGTGAAGACGTACAGTGCCAAAAGGAACTGTGGGCTTCAGGTGCCAGTCCTTAAAGCCAATATGTCCACAGTAACTGATCCATCTTTCTGCATGTGTTCAGCTGCCTGTCCAGTACTGTGCAGTGGTAATGGCCAGTACTCCCGTGGACGCTGCCAGTGCTACAGTGGATGGAAAGGGACTGAGTGTGACGTGCCAGCCAACCAATGCATTGACATCCATTGTGGGGGGCATGGCATCTGTATTATAGGTGCCTGCATCTGCAATACTGGATATAAAGGCGACAACTGTGAGGAAGGTAAGCACAATTTCTTCCTAGAAATTACAAAAAAGGTTAATGTAGTGAGGTTCTATGTTTTTGGCAGAAGTTAGCACCCATGCTCTCACTTTTTTGACTCTATTTTGCATAAGTGTCTGTCACCAAGATAATGTAGCTCTGTGAACATATTTAAATGGGAACATAAATAATTGATTTAGCTCACATTTATGGCGACCCATGATATTAATCATCCATCCAATTTGTTATTATTGAATAATAACATATAAATGATTTAACTTGCAAATTTTACATTGCACATGTAGTGTGCAGAGCTGTTTATAAGCAGTCTATGATGCAAAGTGAAGGTAGAAAACATTCTGATCATCCTACCTGGTTTATCTGCAGTGAAAGCGTGGTGCATCGATGATCAACTGGATTCAGTGTTTTTGCACCAAATTTGTTGTCATTGTTTTTTCATAAATCTAAATTGTCATTACTGTTCACATGTATGGCTCATGTATAAGTTTGAATGATTTAATTCATTGGTTTTATTTTTTCATGCATTGCAAAGATCTGTTAAGTAAGCAATACAATCTTAGACGGAAGTTCACAACTTTTCAGTATTTACATACACACACACACACTTATCCAGCTATATTTAACAGGGGACAATAACCAGATTTCATTAGTTCAATCCTTGGTCACCCTAACCCCTTTTTAGTGAGCGAAAGATTGAGAGAGAATTTGCACTGCGCAAAAGAGGTCTAGGTCATGTGGAAACCTCTGAACTGTGGGATCAGGGTTGGGGAACATTTTCTCTTAAGGACTATTTCAATTTTTACAACATCCTTTGTGGACCCTAAGAAATGATTGAACACACTAACCTTGCAATGGCTGGAACTGTTTCTCTTTGTCGCAGCTTCTTATGACAAAGGGTGAATATGACTCTTAGCAAAACAACTGAAACAAAATAAATTAAACATAATCAAACTCAGCCTCACCCTCTGTAGTAACCTGAGATTTCCTGCTGTGTCCTTTTTTTCAATTTTTCTGCCATATCAGTAATTAAATGTAATTCAATTAACTGCTACTGTATTTATATAGTACAACATGTATGATGTCAAGACACTTTGCATAGTAAGGTCGAGACCTTATTTTTATAGAGAAACCCAACAGTTTCCACAATGGCGACTGTGGAGAAAAAAAACTGGAAGAAACCTCTTCTGCCTTGATTCGTTGGGGTGAGAGGGGAAAAATGGGGGAGAGAAGAGAGAGAGGGAGCAGGAAAAGAGGGTAAGAGAGAGAAAAATAGAGACATTTATGTAATTGTTGTAATTAAGCTCCATTAAATGAGTCGTTATAATGAAAATATTAATAGTGATACTCAAAGATGATGCTGTTAATTATCACATTACCCATTTAAAGTAGTAGTAATGATAATGATAGCAAAACATGGGAGAGAGAAAACACAAAGTGAGTGACATGTAGTAATGTAATAAAAATACATGGGGGGGGGGGAGTTGGACAGACAGAGAGAGAAGTGCTCAGTGCATGATGGAAGTTCCCCTAGCAGTCTTGGCCTATAGCAGCATAACTAAGTGGTGATTCTTTGCTTTATCAAAAAGGTTTCTAGTCTAACATTTAATATATTGTATAATGTCTGCCTCCTGTTCCCAAGCTACACTGATGAGCTTGACTTCACCAAAAAGTCTTTTTTCTTTACATCTCATCCAATTTAGCTGCATGTATCAGCTGTAACGATGCTGAGGTTGGTCCTTTTCACCACTGCAAGCTTCAACCCTGGTTTTGGGGGGGGTCACGACAGAAGTTGAACCCTTCAGATAGACCCCCAATGTGGGTCTAACTATGTTATAGGTATTTGATCTATTAACTCTGTCTCTTCCTCTCTCTGTCTCCAGTGGACTGCATAGACCCAAGCTGTTCAGCCCACGGGGTGTGTATCCATGGTGAGTGTCACTGTCAGCCAGGCTGGGGCGGAGCCAGCTGTGAGATTGCCAAGGCCATGTGCCCGGACCAGTGTTCAGGTCATGGAACCCACAACACAGAGACCAGCAGTTGTACCTGTGACCAGAACTGGACTGGACCCGACTGCTCTTTAGGTGTGTGCCATGTTTAATATCATGTGGTGTAACAAAATGTTACTATGAACATTTTCTTTTAATTTTGTAAAAAGTAACATGGCACTGTGCTTTAGAACTTATTCAGTGCTTTACAGCCATTAAACAAGGACAGAGACGAACCAAATGAGCATAAAATGATAAACATAATAACATGCAGAGCAAAACAAAATTAAGAGTGTTAAAATTGTGAGCCCCTAAGAACACACATAGAAGATGGTAAAATGACAACTTAAAACACAAAGTGCATAAGACAGTCCGTTACAATGTTTATCTATGGGTGTGTGTTCAACGGAACTGTTAGGCCAGAGGTATAGACTCAGATAAAATGGCTCTTTTCGAAGAAATTAATGTAGGCTATAAAAGGTGACTTATCTAAAATCTACCTTCATACATACTGGGAACTGGAAATTTGGAGTGTACTTTTCCAGCCTAGAAATAACAAAATATCCTGGAAATAATCTTTATGGTCCGTGATTGCATTTAGCCCCCTCCATAGTAACCTACATAACATAAGAACCTGTGCAACATGACATGCATGTTGTGTTTTCTCCTGTAGCGCAGTGTCTCCACCTTGTGTTGGCTGTATTCTCATTACGGAAGGCAATGAATCAGTGCAGGGATTGTAAATGTAGTAAATGTAACATTGATTTACATCAATAGGGCTATAGGCTTCTAAGTGTGTGCGGTGTGTGTGACAACCCATTACACTATTACCCGTTAAACTATGCTTGGACAATAACTTGCAGTGTACCTCATGGTGTGATTTGCTGCATTTTGAAATTGTCATGAAAACATTGGTAAGAAAGTAAAAAACAAAATCCCATTCATGACTCACAAAAAGAGGGTCAGACAAACTTATTGTGCAGTTAGTAATAATGGATTTTGCCATCAACTGTAATAAAGAGATTTCATCATGAACCCTGCAATCAAGAGGGTTACTGTTGAATATGCCCGTTTGTGAACAATGCGTGTCCTGAATTATCAAGACAAGAGGGTCCTGGAAGATTATTTCTTCAAAACAGAAGGAAGCTGGCATGTAAACAATGTGGTCTCGGACAAAGGAAACCCAATTTGACTGTTACTGTAAGAAAATGGGAAACAAATAATGGCCTTGGTTATTGTAGTCACAGCTTGTGTGGTGCTGTAACTGTGCTACGGTATTTCCATCATGAGTCATGATTTTCATGGCCACAAGAGTTTGGCAGGAAAATGTAAACATAAGATTGTGACATTTGAACAAATGACAAAGGTACTGAAGAGAGGTAGGAACATCAAGAGAAAGAAAGAGAGAGCTCTTAAGTGACATAAATGATGTAGAAGTAAGATGGAAAATCACTGGAGGAGGAATGCAGATACAGGAACAGATGGCTTGACATAAAAACAAAGACAAGAGGAAAGGTGTGTGTGTGTGTGTGTGTCTGTGTGTGTGTGTGTGTGTGTATGTGTGTGTGTGTGTGTGTGCTCTATTTGTATCGCCTTGAGCTATGAGTATTGTTTTCTCAAAACCATCAAACACACGTCCAATTAAGTGCTGTCGCTTTCTAAAAACACACACATACACAGATGCAATGCATTACATATGTGCACAGACAAAACATTTTCTGGCTTGTCCTTGACCTTTTTTCTTATAATCTGTCATAACATTCACAGACACACACACAAGCACACACACACAGCAGCACACAGTCATACACCCTGATGTGTGATATCTTTTTCTTTCCTCCCTCACTCATGCACATATTTTGAATTCATTGGATTCAGTTCAGACACAAGAAAGCATACAGGCAGAGTTCAGTCAGAAAGCTACACATGCACAGGTATAGGTGAATTAGGGACAGACTTGTCACACATTATCAGGACACGTCATTATGGTTATGAGTAGAATCAGAGAATGTTATCTGAAGTAATGTATAACATATGGCAGTGTGTGGATTCAGGTGCTCCCATTGATATTATCAGTGAAATGATTTGCCAAGACCCTGTCACATTCTGGTGTGACATATAATCACAGAACAGCTATGTTGAGACAGTGAGCGGCCACTAGTGCCATCATTTCCAATTCAATCACCAACATGCTGTGATCATGAGTTGATGTTTGTGGTTGATATTTTTCTGCTTGTTTCCAGGGCTTGGCATGAGATCATGGCAACTGCAGGTTTTCATGAAACCTGGGTTGACTGAATTATATAAATCTTCTTCAGCAGTTAACACATTATGTACTAACAGCAGTGTTGAGGCCACATCAGGTTTAAAGTTTTATTATCCTATCTGTGCCAATGAAATGTTTTCCCAAATTTACATGCATACATAATACTACTAACCATTTCCTTAATTTGAGGTGGCTTTATTTGACCTATATGATGAGATAGAAGCAAACATAGAAGCAGCCTGTACTGTATGGATGTAGGATTGGATAATTGGAAGCTTGTAAGCAGAGTTGTGCCCTGCAGCCATTCATTCAAAATAAAGAACAGCATCTTTGTAGCCTTGCAAATACAGCAGCACCCGCAGTCTGAGAGCACAGTTAGATCTATGGTGTGAGTGAGACTCAGTCACCAGAGAGTTTCCTGATGTCAAGGACAATGACCTGTAGGTCACTCAGACTGTACTGTCTGGGATAAGTAGCTTTTTTGTAACCACAACTAGAGCTACCTGTGTTGGAGGCAGAGCTTTTTCACAAACATTCCTCTAACTGAGATAAAAAAAGGGGGCTGGCTGCTGCAGTCCTCCTTTCATAGTCAGACTAATTTGTATGCTGCTTGACATCAGCTCCTCGGTTAAGTGTAAACATGCCTAAACAGGTTTTTTCACCCTCTGTACAATTGTCTGCCCTGAGTCTTTTACCCACTTTCTCTCTGCATGAAAATGTATTTGCTTTAGCCAGAGAATTAGGTTTATTCTATAGTATTATATTATTGTTATTATCATATACTTGTATACACATACATATTTTATTCAGATTTTTTCATTGGTGGCATTGGCTAAGATAATCCGTGCAGTGGATATCTTTTTTCAAATGTACACTTTATGGGAACATGATATATATTCACACTATGCAGATTTAGAGTATTGTATATGCTGTAGATAAGATTTACTTAAGGAATGTATTTTCTTTCTTTCTCCAACAGAGGTGTGTGAAGTGGACTGTGGCAGTCATGGAGTCTGTTTTGGTGGTGTGTGTCGGTGTGAGGAGGGCTGGACAGGGACTGTGTGTGACCAGAAGGCCTGCCACCCAATGTGCAGCAAGAACGGAGTGTGTAAGGAGGGGAAGTGTGAGTGTGACCAGGGATGGACAGGGGAGCACTGCAATATTGGTGAGTGGGTCATACAAGCACACATGCTCTAATATACACACACAGGAATGGGAAATTAGAGTGGTTCTAAGAAGTATCACAGTATGCTTAATTATACACATGGAATGTATAAATTCGAAAGCAAATATTGTGTCACCCTTGGTTTTCCAAAATGAAGTGAAAAGAGAATGTTTTCTGGAAAGTCATGTTAACTATGTGTTCTGTGCAAAAACTCAAACAACAGTTTTACCTTTGAATGGCCCAGATGAACTGAAAAGGATATAGCGATACACTCTCATCTGACATTACTTATGTTTGACTAATGTCAAGTTTTGGATAAAATGTCCCATCGGTGACAACAAAACTGTAGCAGAATGTAGGATAGATAAATAATTCTTTTTTCATCATAGTTGCTGCCAGTAAAGGAGGAAATGTTGCTTCTAATTATATGGATGTCCATGTCTGTGTCAGCTATTTTTGCCATTCAACAAAACTGGAGCTACAATAGTATCACTAGGTTGTCATGCGGCCATTCCCTTTAGAACCACAGAGTATCTCACAGGGAAAGGTTGCTGCCTCTGAAATTCCAGACGCTCTTTGCAGAGAAACTCGGGACGATCTTAGGAGTTCAATGCATAACCACTGCTAAAAATGAGTAGAGTGACCTTTATGGCTGCTTCCGCTCACCAGATTAACTGCTCTATTAACAGCTGCTCATTGGTTTTAGTTGTCACTAAGAGTGACTCACCCTGAGACACTTGGAGGAGGATGCACCATAACAACAATGATATGACATGAAATCCATCAAAAGCTCATAGCTTGTTTCTTTAGATTATACAGCTGAGGAGAGGATGTCTGCTGCTGTCCCCCTGTCTCTAACCATCACATTTACACCTTGAGTTAGACTCTCCGTGCAGAATCGTTTCTAGTTCAGAAACTGGACATTGCCCAGTTTACATTATGTCCTATGATTTTTCCGAAAGCCAGAGCAAATCATTGTTTAACTTGTTAATAATGGAATATAAACTATGGTCAGTCTGACCCTGGACACTGAATATTCACTTTTCTGTGTCTGTCTATCATTCTTTCCTTTCTCGGTTTCACCGAACCTCTTTTCATTTTTATCTGCTGCTGCTTTCGTCAGTCACTTCTGTGATCAACTGCTGCTGTGATCCTTGATGCAGATTTTTCTCTGCCTACTTTTCTGGAATAAGGTCTCTTTCAATCCCTGTCTTACTTTCTCCTTCCTTCTTAAAGCTCACAATCCGGACATTAGAGTCAAAGGTACAGTAGTCTTCTCCTCTCCTTGTCATCAGCTTTTTTCTCTTCCTTCCTTCATTCTTTGCTATTCTCTTCATGCTGTGGTATTTATCTGTTTTTTTCAGACAGTGTTCTTTTAAATTTTGGATATCTGGAGTACATTATGTTTTTTGCTCTCATCCCTCACATCATTTGCCACCTCTGGGGACTTGCACTTAAACATCAATTAAATAAATGTGGTCCTTAGCCAAATATACAATGGCTTAATTTTCATTTTCCATTCAAGTAGTACTCTTGGTCTTTTAAAATAGAATGAGAATTATGAGAATTAAGAATATATTTAACTGTAATGCAGGGTTAGGGTTAGGGTTGTTATGATTTTGAATATGTTTCTGTGTATATTGTTCAAATAGCTTTACTTTTTTTTGTTTTTGAGTCCTGTGTCTCTCGCACCAATAATTTTAAGCTTCTGACTCTGCAGCATAGGAAATTCTGTGTAAAGACTTTATGTATAATTGCTCAGAGGCAATTCAATGACCAAAACCTACAAGTTCAACTTCACTGCTCAGAGAAATTAAGGGAACACTTAATCGTCACAGTATAACAGCAAGTCAGTTCAACTTCAGGGATATCAATCTGTCCATTTAGGAAGCACAAGTGATTGTGAATCACTTTCACCTGCTTTGGTGCAAATGAAAGTGACAACAGCTGCAATGGAAAAGCAAAATCAAGACAACCCCCAAAAAGGAAATGGTTTTACATGTGCTGGCCACAGACAGCTGCTCTCTCTTTATCCTTCCTGACTAATTCTTCTTTAGGTTTGTGTTCTGCTAGTGTCCTTGTCACTATTTGTAGCATGAGGCGGTAACTGCAGCCTAATCAGGTTGCACAGGTAGTCCAGCTCCTCCAGGATGGCACATCCATACGTGCAGTCGCAAGAAGGTTTGCTGTGTCTCCCAGCACAGTCTCATGAGCATGAGGGCCCGACGACCTCTAATGGGAACAGCACCGTGCTGCTTGATTGACATTTGCCAGAGGACACCAGAATTGGCAGGTCCGCCATTGGCGCCCCGGTTCTCTTCACAGATGAGAGCATGTTCACACTGAGCACATGTGACAGGTGTGAAAGAGTCAGGAGAAGCTGTGGTGATCATCCAGCATGTCTGGTGTGGCAGTGGGTCAGTGATGGACTGGGGAGGCATATCCTTGGAGGGTTGCACAGACCTCCATGTCATAGCCAACGGTACCTTGAGTGCTGTTATGTACCAGGTTGAAATCCTTAGAGTGATTGTCAGACCTTACGCTGTTGCAGTGAGCCCCTGGTTCCTCAATTCAATTCAATTCAATTTTATTTGTATAGCGCCAAGGCACTTTACATAGAAGGTCCCAGAATGAGCAGCACTTTGGTGACTGTGGAGAGAAAAACTCCCTCATTAACAGGAAGAAACCTCTAGAAGAACCAGGCTCAATGTGGGCGGTCATCTGCCTCGACCGGTTGGGGTGAGCAAAGAAAAAAGGGGAGGAGAGGGGAGATGGGTGGAAAAGAGGGGAGAGAAGAGAGAGAGATAGTGGAGAGGAGGAGGAGAGAGAAAGACAGGGAACACTAATCAGATCTGACTAGTTAAAATGTAAACAATAATAGTGTAAAGAAGTTATTGATTATTATTGATAACAGTAACAATTCATATAATAATGAATTACTAATAAATATTGTTTTTAATAATAATAATAATAATAGTAATAATTATCCTGCAGTTCTGGAGTCAGCGATCCCTGCAAAGAGAGAGGGACTATGGGAGGGAAAAAAAACATAGTTAGTGACATGTATTAAAATAAATAAATGAGTGTGGGGGGGCAGAGAGACAAAGAGAATTGGAGAGTTGCTCAGTGCATGATGGGAGTTCCCCCAGCAGTCTAGACCTATAGCAGCATAACTAAGTGATGGTTCAGGACTCACCTGATCCAGAACTAACTATAGGCTTTATCAAAAAGGAAAGTTTTGAGTTTAACTTTAAATGCAGAGATGGTGTCTGCCTCCTGAACCCAGAGTGGGAGCTGCTTCCACAGGAGAGGAGCCTGGTAGCTGAATGCTCTACCTCCTGTTCTACTCTTAGCCAATGTAGAGAAGCTAAGACAGGAGTAATATGATCTCTCCTTCTAGTTCCTGTCAGCACTTGTGCTGCAGCATTTTCGACCAACTAGAGGCTTTTCACAGACTGTGACATCCTGCTAATAAAGAATCACAGTAATCTAGTCTCGAGGTAACAAATGTGTGGACTAGTTTCTC